TCGATTTGCAGGGGTCCCAAGTTGGGAAAATCTATTCGCAGGAAATTTTGTCGTGAAATTTTGCAGCCCATCGGATTCAATGCGTAACTCGTAATATAACAAAGTTTTGTACGAAATGAACAAACAAACAACTAAATAGCTGTTATTGTGCTCTTTATTTACAAAATTGACATATTAGAGAATGTTCAAACATATATACAAGTTGCGTTACAATCAGCCTTTACTTATTTTATATTATTATTTACATTTGTTACAATCAGCCCTTAATATGAATAACACCACTTGTACAGGTATCATGTTACAATCAACTAATACTTATTTACAAAGTTATTTACATGTTAAAATCAGACATTACTATTTACATCAATTAGCTCTTACTTATTTAGAAATATATAAATCAGCCCTTAATTTTTATTATCAGAATTGTTATCTTACAATATTCCTTACATTGTCAGAATAGTTAAATCACCTAGTTCAATATGTTACAACAATCAGCCTTTACTTACACGAATATTTACACTTGTTACAATCAACCCTTTTTATAAATACAGTAAGACCACTTGGGCTCTATGTTACAATCAACCATTACTTACAGTATTTACAAGATTATTTACATGTTAAAATCACTCAATCAATCTGTGGCTTTAGCGAATCATATAGGAATATTTACATGTTACAATCAGCCCTTAACTTTTATATTCTAATAATACGCCTATAACTGTGTTTCAATAATTGAACATTTTAAGTAGTCTCACCTCGAATAAAAATTACTATGATGCTATTATAAAGTATAATATTTACATTAGAGCGTTGTTACATGTGTGATTGTATCTGTATTTTTAAACGATAGAATTATGAAAGTGAATTATAAATAATTTGTTATGTAATTTTTCATTTTTTTATATACATACCATAATTTAATTGGTCTCAATGTCACTTTATTTTGTCTGTTGTAAATCTTATTCATTCTAACTATTCTAAATTGTAAATATTCTATTACTTTTTTTAACTTAGTTTCAGACAATTTATTTTTATACCATTAAAATTTGAACTTAATTATCCATTTTTTACCTTTTCTATTTGATACTTCCATTTTTAATGATGTGTAATAATAAATATTTTTTTATTGTTCGTCCTTTAAGTTCTGCTGTTTAAGTTTTGCAATTTTCATCATTGTTTACGTGATGAAATAAAGAGAAATAAAAAAGTATGTGTTTGGCTAAAAAGAAAAAGTACGGAAAAATTCACAGAATATTTTCAGGAAAAAAATATTTAAAGGTCTTTGATGCTTAAATGGCTTTATATGGCCTTATTTCTTATCATGTATAAGTTGTATTTTTGATGATAGAAATGGTTGGCAGTAGGCCTACTGCTGACGGTACAACTTGTTGAGGCGTGCCTCTGTTAATTAATTATCACCATTATTATGCTAATTAGCGCTTCCTCAAATAACATCTTAAAGAAAATAGTTTATTCGTTGTCGTCAGTACTTCCAAGGCCTACATTATTATTATTTTAATCTATAGAGATGGTTGTTGTTTGACTGGTTTGAAAAAATAACGATATATAGGCCATTATATATTCAAAATAATAATAATAATAATAATAATAATAATAATAATAATGATAATAATAATAATAATAATAATTATTATTATTATTATTATTATTATTATAACACACATCATATATTTATAATAATAATAAATAATAATAATAATACACAACGAAAATAATAACAATAACTTACATCGAAATAATAGCAGTCTCCTGATGAATCAGTCAAGCTAGAGAATAAACTTTATACAAAAGATAATCTGACAACTCACATCGAAATAATAGCAGTCAATCTTAAGAGTGTATCATAATAATAAGTGTATTATTATTATTATTATTATTATTATTATTATTATTATTATTATTATTATTATTATTAACAATAACAAAAAAATACAGTAATAATATCAATAATAATGTTAATGATGAAATGTTGGTGTCCGGCGTAGGATAGTTTTTCACCATAGTTTAAGACTTAATGTAAAGCGCATAGAGACGATCTGCGATCCATTAAGGTATTGTTATTATTATTATTATTATTATTATTATTATTATTGTTATTATTATTATTATTATTATTATTGTTATTATTATTATTACTATTACTATTATTATTATTATTATCGTTTTTGTTGTTGTTGTTATTATTACTGTATCATTATTATTATTATTATTATTATTATTATTATTGTTAATGATGATTATGATGATAACATTAATAGTAATATTAGGCCTATATAAAACAATGATACTGATATTGATATCTATTACTGTATTATCATTATCATCATCTTCATTATCACTATATTCAAAAAATAAAAAATACACATTTTATTTAAAAAAAATCTTCATTAAAACAATCTAAAAACGGACAGAAATAGACATTACAAAACATATATAAAAATCTATAATGTTAATACACTAATACTTACAATAAAATGTGCGGATATTACTATTTTCATATTCATTATTAATATAAACCCTTATCATATTGTTATAAACCGTGTTTTTATATATATCAACATCCTATAGGATTGGCCTAATAATATTGAGGAATTATATTATCATTGAAATAATGACAAGAATAATAGTCACATAAATTGAATTAAATTGTAAAATTTCGTTAAGTTTAATATGATGTTGCAATAATATTAAGTACAGACATAGGCCTATGTAATGCGTGACCTATGGTGGGAGTAGTAACCTTATGAAAGAACCAGAAATAATATACGACTGCTAAGCAAGCCGACCTTTGCATCCAGCCACCAATTTATCATAATCTGCGAGTTTGCATTTGTTATCAGTAGTTTTCGATAACTAAGTGCTTTATCAGTTTGTATAAATGTTAGAACCATCCCTCAAAACTCATGAAAAAGAATTTTGTAGGCCTAAATAAATACAGTCCCTGGTACAAGGGGCTTAAAATTACAGTACCCGCCGAGGGTTGGTATTTGCCTAATACCGGTACTGTTCTGCCATGCAATTTTAAAATAAAGTTAATTTAGAATGAGTAAGGACTATAACATAATTTCTGCAATATAGTCCTATGTTAATACGTGTTAATTACAAAGTAAGACAGACGAAACACAAACACTATATTGAATGAAAAAAGATAATTAATGTTTTTAAAGCATGCTTGTTCATTTTTAGCCCATCTCCCGAGTTCTTAAGTATAGTATAGTATATGATGCTTATTGCTTATTATACAAATATACGGTATATACATACTTATATTCATATATAAATAATCAATCATATATACATATGTATGTAGATAAAATCAAAATGGTTTTAACCTGCCTAATAGATAGCAATATGCCTTGATAGGCTTGATAAAGGGTCCGATCTCACCCTTTTTATCATAAATTTGTAGGCAAATCAACAATCATCTTTATGATTTATATATACAGTATATATATATATATATATATATATATATATATATATATATATATAGGCATATATATAATATAGGCCTGTTTTATATCTTAATATCAAAAAATGAGTCTTGAGATAATGCTATATAATGCTAGGCCTATATATAAACGTTGAACGTTAAAGATTATGTATGCCTATGCAGCTTCCTTGATTTTATATATATATATATATATATATATATATATATATATCAAAGAAATTAATGAATTCGAAAGGTTATATACTTTATAAATAGGCCTATATATTATACCTTATGCCTAATAATTTATTTTGATAATTACTTTCCAGAGAAAGAAAATCTGATAGGTCTTATCAAATTTAAACTTTTCGAACATGTTGGGCTTATGATTTTCTGTTTTATCTTCATTTAATAGTTAATTATTTAGAAATATAAATGTTTCAATAATAATAAATATAGGTCTAATATGATATATAATATCATCATCATTATTTTCATAAAATCAGCTAGGCATTTTCTACATGGTATGAAGTTTAAAAAATATGTTGTTATTAAGATTATATACAATACTGTATATAATTGAAATATATTAAGGCATATATATATAGGCCTATATATAGGCCTAAATAAAGTTTAGTGAATAAAATAAATTGAGTCGATATAGCGTTAACTGTGTGTGGCGTTTGTAACTAATAGCAAGATATTCGCTTGATAACAAATAATAAATACACTTATTCTTTAAGTTTTTATATTTATTGATCGTATTAACGTACCCGATATGTTAGGATGATCCTTAAAAAATTATAAACTATTAAATTTATATTTCTTATTCTTGTTTGATTATTATTTCATTATTATTATATTTAATATTTTTATTATTATTTTGTTATTTCATTATTATTGTTACCGGTATTCTTATTGTTTTATTGCTATTATTATTATTACTACTACTACTACTATTATTTATATTTATTATTATTATTATTTCATTATTATTATTATTATTATTATTATTATTATTATTATTATTATTGTATTTTTGCTCTTTATTGTGTAATATATTGTAAAGCGCTATTGACAACTTCCGTTTTAACCGGCCCTATATAGAAATTTTTAAATCTATCTATCTATCTGAAACCTATTAGCGTACCTGTTAAACGTACACTTCTCTAAAATGTTTAAATAATGAAATTAAATATTATTTAAGTATCTTATTATTTTCAATCTTGACCATAGCTTGGTAGTAGCTTACTATTTACCTTGAAACAAGGTCTTGGTAAGAGTACATTGTATTATCAAAATATGTGAATAAAAACCCTATAAATGAAAGAGTTCCTTAAACTTGAACGATGTATATGGTGAAAAATATAAATCACTATTCGTGATGGTAGAAATTTCATACAGTCAGGTTCGGACGATAAAAGATCGTATACACGGACATCTCATAAAATCGTTTAATACTAGGCCTATAATTCATCCGCCAAAGTTTGGTGCGGGATAGCTTGACCAATCGGCGATCAACTCAACCAATGAAAGCAACGCTCACTCAAAGCGATTTTGGAAAGCCTCGTCACGTGATTTCCATGGTCCACAGCTGTGCATCTGTACGGTTCGCTAACTCGAGTTGAGTAAATACTCAATGTGGTCCTGTTAAATAAAAATCTGAAGCCAATGTGAGCCCACTGCACTCGCCTTCCGCTATCTATACAACTGGTCATTGCACCGCTGATAAAGCACTAAGGGGACAAGAAGCGCTTTCCTGAGATAAAACAAATTGGTAAGTTCCAAATCCACGTATTTTATAGTTGTAGTCCTCGTGTTGTTTTTGTAAAGTTTATCTGCTACTAGTTACAGTAGATAGTGCTCAGCTCGCGGAATCGCATCTCAGTGGTTCTATACGGTATCAAGTTTATAGGGTTTGAGATAGGAACCAAATTTCTGAATACCAACAAGGCTCATTGGTTTGTCCAAATCTTATCAAGTCAAGTTATCATCAAGTTATCATAGGAGTAGAACAGGAGTAACCAGCCACAAGTTCTGCTAGAGGAAGAGTCACTGCCGAAGCCCAGCGGCACGAGCAGAAGATAATGAGCCTAATTTCCTAATATTATTGTAAGATAATGTTTTTATATCTTAATATCAGAGAATGATTGAAGTCATAGTATTTATATCGGTTGATAGTGTGGTGTAATAGACTTTTTCTTATCGGACATATCGTGTTTTAGTTTATCCACTTTTAGGCTGCCACTTTGGATAAAAGGATCTAACTCTAGTTGTCTAGTGGTATGTTTTTTTATGCAATAACTCATATTTCCGTACTTGATTTTTAACAGAAATTGTCGCAGCTCAATTTAGATTAAGATTACATTTAGCCAAAATATAGGTCCTAATTTGTAAGTCGTCATAAAGTTTAACTCGTTGCCGTATATAACCAATATGACCAATTTATGATTGAATTACTGTATATTATAAATTTTTAATATAATAAAAATGACATAGGAACGCAGCCAAAGAGTAATTCCCAAAAGACTAAGCATAAAATGTATTTTCTCTAGCTTTCATTCATGCAGTGGGCATACTTAGTTCTCTTCATTTGTAATTTTTTTAAAATTTAAAATAATGCAGATAAAATTCTTTTTCATCACATAACAAATTTTATAATTGATTATTTTTTTATTATAGGCCTTGGCGTCTTTTAAAAATATTAATTTATTTTGTGAATTTATTAGTAGGTCTATGCTTTTTGTAAATGTGTGAAGAAATAAGAAACTTCTTTAAATGATAGGATCTATAACAATTTTAATATATCATTTGAAATGCATGAAAACCAATTTTATGTAAGACATTTTTATATAACGAAAACGTTTACTTATAAAACTGTGTATTTAAAAAAGCTTCTTAGTTTTCGGAACATGTTATTTAAACTTATTTCTTTGTTAATCTGTTTGGCTGTGGTAAACTATAACGCCCATAGTTGAACAACGCCAATAAGCAAGTGTCAGTGAAATGAGAGACAATTTTCGTTTCAACTTTTTGCGGCTTGACTTGCTAAGATAAACAGTCGCCCTACTGGCAGACTCACAATAACGTTAATTAATCCATGATTAATCCATGGCGTTGTTCAGTTAAGATTATGTAATAGATGTGTTCTGTTAGTTCAAAACACGTCTTAAAAATAAAATATATGGCCTATGGTTTAACTTTTACCTTATACAGTACGGCAAATCTTCAGTAGCTCTTGGTTAAATTTTTTTCTAGGAGTTTACTGAAGTGGCCTGCGCGAATTTAACAATTAATATTGAACATATCAATGCAATTTTCAGATAACACGCCACTAATATTATTATGTAATCATTTAATATACTGTACTTACAAGTTTTTGGCATTTTTTAGTACGAAACGATGCGAGAAATTTAAAGGAATTTGTCCTGATATTTTTTCAATTTTCCCTTCACGGCCCAAGATAGATAGGTAATTAAACCCGCCACCAATACTTTAGCATCATTGGCCGTCCTAATTTTCCAACTTTCAATGGAAAATAATTAGGCCTATTATATAAAAATAATATAAACAGCCATATGGGAACTATTAAACTGAAGTTTGCAATAAATTTAGGCCTATCTTGTAACTTGAATTAACACACTAGCACTTTTAAATCAGTGACGGATCTGGAACCCTTGAGGGGACCCATAGCGGGACTATTAGTATTACAAAAAAAGGGGTGACTACCTCAACCCATGGCTTTCCTCTATGATCAGCCCCAGCATGGTTAATTTTTTTTCATTCTCTTTTTATTTAAACAAAATTTAGAGCAGAACTGGGCCGACTGGACCCTTTCTTGAATCCGCCTACCGGCATGTATAAATGGTGAACGCTGCTTATTTAAGTGGCTGCAAATAGCAATGTCGAACTTCTTAAGTGTTCTTATCAAGTACATGATGTACTAAGTATATAATCCATTAATTGAACATCGCCGTGTGATTATCCCATCTAAATTAATAGGTAGACTGTGTGTTTATGAATCAAACATTAAAGCCTACACATTGTTATCGAAAACCCAGGAATGTTGCTTCTTGACGCCACCACATAATCTACTATTTATCTAACTGGTATTACAACGTTCATTAAGTTTATCAATAAGTATCTATTTTATGGGCTTAATAATTCTGTTCAATTAGGCAGTAGGTCCATAAAAAAATAATTATTATCATTATTTTTCATATTAATGATGACTTTTTTCGGGATCATCCGAATTTAATTTTTGTCCTAATTTGTTATAGGTTTGGGAATGACTATTACATTATCCGAGATTCATAGTCAGAGTTAAAGTAATTCCCGTCAATTGTATTAAAACTACCTCATTGTTGGTTGGATGCCTTACATTCTTCCCTCTTTCATTGTAAGTAACTGATCATAGTTTTGTATTCCGTATGAGCGAACACATAGGGCCTAGACCTTACTAATAATATAGTCACTTAATCTTGGCGTTACAATTGTTAGTATCTCTGCCCGGTTTTGGTGAAAGTCTCCATTGATCTGGGTCTATTAAATAAAAATGTAAAGTTGCATGCCTACAGTTTTATAAAAGAACGGTATAACAACGACCATCGGCATTGACCGCTGCGGAAGTGCCGGCCACAGGAAATAGCCTTTCGGAAGAATGATTCGGGTCTAATTATGTAACAACTACATTGTAGTGTACTCAAATCATTTCCCTGACATACGTCATTTATCATCTAAACTTGTAGCATTGTTAATATTAATTGAGATATCTGTTATTTACCTAGATACAAGCTTATATTCGATGTAAATTAACAATATTCCAAATGTGCCAGTGGCTGATCCTAAAAACTTTAATATATTCTTTTTCAAATATATTATATGTTGAAAAACTTAGAGGGGCACGGGTCGTGAATCCTTCTATGTGTGTCAAATAAATACACACACATTATATCAACGCTATAAATCCTAATTGGTTAATTATCATTTTTAAAATAAAGGTTATGTGTATTTTTTTTTAAAGCGATTTTATATTTTTGGCTCAGATTCGTTTAATACACCTGTTAATGTTATATTACTATAGGCCCAAGTTTGCGCAACTAGGTATATGGTAAAAAAAAAGACGAGCTTTCTCACTGTGTTCTAGCATTCGAAAAAATGGGAGCATTCAAAATTGTTGTCTTGATTGTAATAAGCCTAGCCTATGTCATTTTACAAGTGGTTATTCCTACTAAACTGCAATTTTCAATTTCGTTTATGGAAAAAGCAAAGTGTCTGTATCCATAATAATATTGTGGCAATTTTATTTTGCCGATTGGATTATTAGTGTTTATGAATTGAAGTCGTAGATTGGGGGCCTGCGCAAGTTTCGTGGCCAGCATTTCTGAATTTGATCGTGCTTTTAATTACCAGATGAAACATAGGCCTATATAAAAAACAACCTTAGAGTATTGCACAATTAAACCATTTTTTAAAAATTAATTTTCAATACACAGTAGTTTATGTTCTTCAGCATCCGCTAATATAGTGTTTTTTCATTGTTTTCTGCAGATTATCGTTACAAGTCAACGTAGTCTACAATATTGTCTCTCTTCCTGAGTAATTGTGTTTCCAATGGTACATGGAATGCTCTGAATCAACCCGCTGTCTTGGTGGTATTATCGTCAAATCTGAAAACACCTCTCCTGGCAAACTTGAACCGACAAATTTGTCCAACACTCGGTCTGATCTTTCAAACGGGAGTCCTCCAACCAGCACAGGTGATTCACAATCATCGCATTCCTCTCCTGAACAGGACGACCGACAGCAATTACACAAAGAGCAAGTTAAATCTCCGCCAAGCTATCAATACCATTATCCACAACACCCCCATACAGCATACATTGCACGTGGTATGCCCTCTGGGCTTGTTTTGGGATCCCTCGCTGAACCAAGTCAATTGTTGCCATCAGAGGACGTAGAAGTGTTCTTCCACCACCTAGATCAACCAATGCCTACCTCAAGCACCCACTCAAATTTGACCACGTCTGCTGTTCTAACTGATCATCACCACCCATTTAGCCAAATGTACCCCTCACAAGGAACCATCCCAGTACCAACTTGTGTAGGCGTTCAGCCTGCTTATGAGGCTTCCCCAACATCGTATATTCACTCGGCAACCAGCCCAGTGTACGTACCAACCACAAGACCTGCCATGCTGACTATGGCGCACCAATACATCCAGCCAGGCGTCACAAGTGGCACACCACAACAATCGCCAGTTCAGACAAGTCCCCACGTCTGGTCAGCGCAGTCTGATCCCACGGGGGCCTACGCATCGAATGCCACGGCAGTTAATCAGCGATTTTCTTTTCCACCAAGCCCCCCGATTACCTCTGGAGCATCAAACCTAAGTCGCCATCATAATGGTCTCAGTCCTTATGCCCCGTATGTTGGTAGTGAATTCAGCTCCTGGACAGCCGCCGCCTCGTATGACCCACTACACAATGTTGCTCGCACCAGCGCTCTAAACAGACGACTCGGTAAGTATAACCCCGAGCTGTCTTTTTACACAAAATAGTTTAAAAATATTATTAATAAAACAGATATACATTCATTTTTTAATGTCTTCACTTCATTATTTTTTTTTTTGCAATTCTAACCAATCATACAATTTACCGTATATTTTATTTTAAAAATTGTGATATACTCATTTATGAATAATATATATATATATGTATATAAACACTCCCAGAACGAAATAACCACGTCCACAAGTGTATTACACAAAACAGCAATAAAATAACTGTTAACGGAGACGGTAGCCTTTACGTCATATATATGACATAAATATAGGGCTACCGGTACTCGTTCTGGGAGTGTTTCTTTTCACAATGTACAGTACAGTCTTTAACAGTTTTAAAGTCAAAATACTAACATGAAACGGTTATTTTAATTGCCATCAACGTCAATCAATCTACGCTGATAGCAGAATCTAGAATACGATATCGCAATTGATGTTCAACAATACAGAGGAAACAGGGCTCATGCCACGATATCGGTACCCTGGCCAATATCTGATCCTAAGTTGAACTGACAGGCCCTGTCTAGACTACTTAGTGCAGTTTGATAGGCGTGCCATCGCCTTCACACCTACAGGGAAGGGCATTATGTAAGAAGGGAGAAAGTCTATAAACAAGAATGTAAGCTATAGCTCTATGGTTATATTCTGTATCCTTTGGCGTTTTTTTTTTTAACCAGAGGGCCTGGGGGTAGAACCACGTGGAAAGATAACACAGTGCATCTCGCGTGTTTATTTTTGGTCGCTGGTGTTGTTGTGTTTCTTTTCTAATTAGTAGTTTCCTGGATGTGATTGGCTGGTAATAAGAAATAATTTGCATGAACTCATTTAGGTTTCCAAGCCCCCACGAAGAAATCAACCATGGTGGTATAGTTAGTACACATATTGTTTTTCCCTCAACTTATAATAATGAGAAGGAAAATTTCTGTACTGTAGTACTTCCTAATCATTCGGTTGGGCGTCGCCTGCAAAATAGTCTTTTCGTTTAACCGGGCTTATTAATTATAATATTTCATAAATGTTAAATATATTTATTATGCCTATCATCCTTATGACTACGCTTAGGCTTGTAATATCCCGTGCTTACGCAGTAACCTAGTTTCCAATCTTTTATTTAGACCCTTGGTATTTTCGAAGTGACGGTTTTATTGGTCGTAAGTCGTTAGTCGGATTTTATAAAAAAAAAAGTTATGTATTTGAACTACGCCAAGTCACATGCATTCTTTTTAGAAATCTTATGACAAAATCAATAAACAATTTTGTCCAGATTACCCATCACCAGGAATATTGTAATTACTCTTATTTGCCTTATTTACAGTAATTCACGGCGCCATCGCTAACACATTACAACATGGGTAATAAACTGAGATTTTGTTTATTTAAATCCTGTGCCCGAGTCGATAAAATTTGGAGACATGGGAGCTCTATTCACGGCGTTAATAAGTAGGCCTATTAGATCCCTCCTTGTGGAAGTATTGTTAGGGTTAGGGCCTAACTCGACCTTTTACAAGACAGAAGTAGTTACATATTCACTACGGTACTATGCGCCACCGTCTGTCACCGAGGCGACGATGGATTTAAGATATCGATGAGCAAAAACTGCAGTAGATTTCTACATGACATCTGTGTAGGCTATAACATGCACATCCTAATTTTTGTGCCGAAACTTTTGACATATATCAGTAACTGTTTACACTAATCATTAATTAATTGAAATCGAATGTAATTACGTTTAATGGAATCAAGTTTAATAAATGATCATGAAAACGTCAGGTTACGGCACCGTTTAAGCACGATACCCATGTTCGACGCAGACGTGTTTAAGGAGATATGTTGACAGACATAAACGTTTAGCAAGAGTTAAATGTGTTGGTATTGTGGAGTTTCGTGCCAATCTACAAAACAACCGTATTATAATTGAAACTATTTAACGATTATAATGACAAAACGTGTTAACAAGATGTGCAGCTAAAAATAACTAGTGACCGTAGAAAAGATGATAGGGGCCATAGAAGACAATCTCGTATGCATTTTTACTAAGCGATTTTCACCATCAGTGCAAAATAAGCCTGTGTGATTTAGCCACTATTAGAACAATGCTAAGTAGGCTTACAGTGATGATAGTACCGATGTATAGCTTCATTTCAGACTTCGTACAACACATTTTTTTCATGAACACGGAACTCTTTACAAAGCGGTGATAGTACCGATGTGTAGCTTCACTTCAGACTCCGTACAACACGTTTTTTTTTCATAAACTCTTTACAACGCAATGTGTTATTGTCAGTTGTGGCACGCCTTTGGAATTGTTCACTCGCTAATATAAGACAAAATTTCCAGATATGACATTGTCTCTTTACAAAGTCAACTTGATAAACATAAAATTTTCCTAAGCATTATCTTCAATGGGCCAAACATAAAGGTAGGCAGACATGTTTCACGCGTATACATTCAGCTCACCCTTTCCTGTTATGCGCAAAATCCCGTTGGCTCAATTCACGATCTTTCAATTTTCAATCTTGATAATAATCTTCAATAGGTTTCTTAACAATACATTAATTCATTGGCCTGTACTTTACATTAGGGCAAAAAAAAAAAACTAATTAAGGCGGTTTTCCACTAGGCGAATTTATTCGCACGACACGGAGAGTTTCGCCGCAAAAAATATCGCGTGAGGTTATTTTCCACTCATGACGAAAAGTTTCACGATACGCATTTTTACATTGTAAATTCGCCTGTTGAAACCGGCTTTACAAACATTTTTAACGAATGAAAAGTTCAACAAGTTAATAAATTAATAGGCGTAAGATCAATAAGTTAATAAATTAAAAAGATCAATAAGTGAATAGATTGTGGTCCTGCACGGAAGAATGAAGATTGAAACAATGTGTTTTTGCTTATTTGTACACATCTTCAATCACTACGAAAACATAAAATGTTATGTTATTACATAAAGCCAATAATTTTAAAGCTCTAGGCCTCTGTGGAAGGATACCGGCGGTATAACGGTATCATTTATGCTTAGAACTGTTATTGGCGCAGCATTTATATTTCTCATTTTAATTTGAAATATAGGTTAAAGCTTATAACTATTATATATATTTACTATTATAAATATACATTAAGCGCTATAGTTATTTTATAGTCTTAAGAGCGCAGGCAAAATAGGCCTATTTTTTGGCAAGTAGGCCTACAATATCGAACAGTTATAGAGTAATAGGCCTATGTCTAATTCATTAAAAGCAAAAATTATTATGATGTAATTGAATATTTCAGAGTAGCATGACAAGCTACAGTTATTATAATTATATATAGGCCTACTACTTGTTGATATTTCGTTAATATTTTGGGAACCAAGCCACATGGTGTAATTTGCTTGCTATTTACTAATATTTAAGTGAATTTAAAACAATAACCATCGTAAACAATCGCAAATATCATAATTGAAACGCCACACACGACATTTCAATTTAATCACTACAGTACTGTACCATCGTGTCTTTAACAAATTAATTTAGAAATTAGTTACTCTTTAACTTCTAATAGGTTAAAAACACGATGCGAATTTCAGCATCTGGGGCATGTGGAGCCACAGAACCACGGATTAGTAAACAGAAACATTATTAACGCATGAACGTATTCTTGGCCTAGGCCTACAGTATGTGATCTCTGATAACACTTTATTTTGAAATCTAGACATAGACCTAAAATGTACACAAGAGAGTAGTGTAGGCCTAGGGTGATTGAAGGATCAACAATATGCGTTTGATACGAGTCGTAAACATTTCAGGATTCTCAGAACTGTCTGTCATAATTCTCCTAAGTATATCTTAATGAGTTGAGATCAGTGTATGGTGTACATGGTTATAAACTACTGTATTAATAAATTACACAGATCTATCTATTGGGCTGATTATTTGGAATTCTTTATTCCGGGCATCGCCCTTATGCTCCGTTTGCGTAGCTCTCTGTGCCATACTTTTCCGATATACGTCCTCGTATTCAGAACACCTAAAGCTTGTATAATTGTTTTATTGATACCACCTAAACAAATAATCCAGATAGATTCAAAGAGGGTTTATCCTAGCTGTCAAAATAGCTCTACCGAAATACAGCATCTGCATGTATCCAATTTCAATTAGGCCTATGGTTGTTTTCCGCAGCTTCTGCCTTCCTTAACGATTTACTCTCACTTCTCCATCGATGATCTCTCAGGCGAAAAAAAAAATGCCGTTTTCAGAATGTGTGTTATTCTTATATAAAGGACGTAATATTGTAATATCCTTATGTAGGCTTATTTACATGTATTGTCAATAACAAAAAATAAATAGGATTTGATTATAAAACATATTTCAATAGGCCTATTAAAATAATTTTTTTAAATGCCGTTTTCAGGATGTGTGTTATTCATAATATAAAGGACGTAATATTGTAATATCCTTATGTAGGCCTATTTACATGTATCGTCTATAACAAAAAATAAATAAATAGGATTTGATTATAAAACATATTTCAATATTAAAATAATATATTCCTGTGCCTTTTCAGCATGTATCATGAAATAGAGATTTAAAAATTAGGCCGATTGATCAATTTGATATAACGGTTTATTTCGGTTAGCCTGTCTCTTCTGTAACCAAGGAACGCCGTTTTGTTTACGGGTGTCTCGAAAACAGGGTAAAGTACGGTAGATCATACTGCTGGCCACTCTAGTCGTAGGCTTTGGCTTAGGCCCTACTAACCAAATAATATTGCTAGTAAATCTAACTTTAAAGTCTCGCATGGAGACGAATTTATTATTCAATGATTCTCGGTATCGGTCCATTTTCGACGAGTAGGCCTATGTTGACGTTATTACTCTTGCAGATAAAAATACAGTGTGTAATAAGGGAACGGTGTTCAACTTCAGTAGAAAATGTGCCAATGTGACGTTTTTATAGTCAGTTTACAAATACAATGTTTGGTGGAATAAAAAGATATCTGATAAGTAGAACTAAACAGACAAACTTATCTCAATTAATATATCAATTCCAATTTAATCACAAAAACTCTTCCGAATTACTTGCTGTAGCTAGATCTAATCAACCTGTAGCCTAATTATTATAATCACTAGATATAGGACTTATGTATATGATTTGTGTAAAGCATAACTATTGTGTCCAATGTTATTCCGGAATATGAGCGTCATGGATTTACCAGTGAAGCCGGTGGTACTGTAAGTAATGACAAAATATATTCGATATATAGGGTGATGGTTTACGATGATGAACCTCGATTACTTAATCAAAATCACAACAAATTAAACGAAATTTAGCATCGATATTATTATTATTATTATTATTATTATTATTATTATTATTATTATTATTATTATTATTATTATTATTATTATTATTATTATTATTATTATTATTATTATTATTTGGCACCGATTCAATCAATTAATGTGTGTGCATTGATATTTGTAACATATTTCTATGCATGTGTTGTAAGGAAATCAAATAGGCATACACTATTCCATAAACTACCGTATATCTCTTGTACCGCTCTTGTACCGCTATTTTAGACCATTCATAAAACAGTTACACCTACGTAGATCCTTGTTGAGACTATAACATTTTATTTGACAAAAACAGGTGACATACATAACTATGCCCATATATAGGCACATCGTGACCATATATGGGCATCATACACAAAAAAATTGATAGTCTGGCCAGGGCTTAAATAGCTTATTATAAGACGTGTAATATTTCTAGTCACTTTTATAAACACTGTTTAGTTTTAATACACCCTATTTAATTAATTACATACAATAGGAATTGAAAGTGTCAACAAACGGTACGGTAGCAATAACAGTACGTAAGTTTACACTGTTCTATATTTATATTTGGTTTCGAATGCGAGAAGTGGACGTCGAATAAAACATTTATAAGCTTTCATCCTCTTTCACTATATCTTTTGCGTTAACAATCAATTTTGAGTGAGACTTTCGAAATATTTGTGCAGTTATTTGCTGTTTGCTAATGGTCCTCTGCTGCGTTTCTGTTTGTTCTGACTTTTGGACGCTGTTTGTTGTTTGGAGTCTTATCGGCTAGAGAACTTATGTCCCGGGTACCTACTTGGATACTGCATGATAGGGCAAGGTTCAAAGTAATTATTAATCAGTAATTACCAGTGTAAATATAGTTGGATTTTAAAGGAATGGTCCCTTCCATATTTTACCGGTATGGCATTGAATTTTATAGCCCATTGCATTAAAATAATCAGTTTTCTAATTTTTACAGAAACTGGTTTTGTATACAGGCCTAGGCAAATAGGCCTATCAATAGCGTCGCCATCGCTGTTGGCTTGCCCCTTATTTGAATTACATTTTGATGGGTTTCTTTAGTATAGGCCCAGATACAATAATAGGCCCTATAATCTATTTAATACCGTACCTTACAGACCTCCTTTCGTCACTACCATCGAGCCCAGTTATTTGCTTGCATATGTTTATGCTTGTGGGGTGAAACTATTGTTGTTTTTAGTGAGATAGTTTAACTTTTTTTGTATGATCATTATAACAATATTATTTAAATATTTAAACATGTTACCGGTATTTGTTTATAAATAATAATATGCACACATATTATGGACATATTCGTTGTTTTTATAACTTATATTCGTTCTGTTATTATCTTATCTAATCGCCGTAGTGAGAACCATACTTCCATGATTTGATATCATGAAAGCATAATTCTTGTGTATTATTGTTTCCGGTGAGAGGTGCGTCGTGTTCATTTGAACAATCAATCAATCACTAGAATTTATGTTGCGTTAGATATCCATAATAAAAATTCTGCTTTGAGAGGCGCAATCAGGAATCTGTATGATATCCATATGTCGTAGATTATTTTATAAGAAAATGTATTTAATGCATATTTAAGTATTATAGTATTATAATAGTATTTGAAACTCCAACATTATTTAAAATATGTAGGCCCATCCTACGATAAACTTTTTTATGATTTGTTATTGTACCGTAGGCCCATTAGTTTGCTAGACATACGTGTTTAAATAACATAAAAAAAAAAGATTACAATGTCATGCTAAGACATCTCGGGGTTAATATCACTTGTGTAACTTCTATTCTTTTTTTTTAAATTTTTATTACGATTACTTTTACTAATTTCATAACTATATTGTCAACTATGAAGTCAGAAGTAAACTCAATGAAAATAATCGTGTGATTTTCAAAATGACCGGTACTTTTACTGTTTAACAGTGGTAGCGTTGTGGACATAGCCGATTTAGTTCAGATTTATTATCATTTTTGTCTTAGGGCGGAGTTCACATAAACCACGGCAAATAGATACCGCAATAAAAGTGTTTGTTCCTGCCGTGTACATCGTTTGCTTACCTTTTATAACGCGGTGATTTAATCCCATTCAAGTTAAACCCATAAATAGAGTATCCTTTTATTGTTTGGCAAGTCGCATTGTTGAGCCCTTTTGGGGTACAACGACTTAGCGTTACCGACATGAAATCATGAGTACTTGTTTGTAAGCCAGCCATAGAAACAAATAGAAGTGAATTTTATACACGCTTTCCTAAAAGTAGCTAGGTTAAGTGGTTTGGGGATATAGAGTATATTAATCATTGGTCTGTCGGATATTGACCCGTTTTGTTTTTAAAAAAGCAAGAATAAAGAGGTTTCGATCGTGTCATATGCCTTTATTAGGATATAGAACTACCGGCATACGATTTATTCATGAATTTCCAAATGTTTAAATGTGAAACGATGCTTTGTATAAACAGATGCATTATGAGATTAGATCGGTGTCGTGGAAATTATCCATTTGAAAATTTTATTTCCTCTTCTACCTCGATATAGGATAGGCCTAATAGAAAAACAAATTAGAGAAGATCCTTAAAATGTTTAACCTTTTAATGCGACAAAGATAAACCATAAGAAACACACTTATTCATTAAAAAATAGCACTAAGCATAATTCGATTTTTTAACGCCAGCATTATCTCTCCATCCTAATGAGAGAATATAGGTCTAGTAAAATAGTGTTGCTCGTCATAGCGATGCATGGTAGCTAACTCAACATCTCTAATGGCTGTTTTATAAGAATCATAAGCGCCCTCTTCTGAATTATCGTAAGTTTGGGCTGATGTTTGGTACCGATACATAGTGTCATACAGGACAGGCAAATTTTTATTATTGCAGGCATTTGCGTGATAAACTATACTTTTTTTTAATAGGCCTACAGGGTATTCTCATCTGGAATAGTTACTCTATATATTAGGCCTATTTATTACTGAAGAAGAAAAATTGAGGGACTCTTGTCGGAAATCAATAAGAAAATACCGGTACATTTTTCTGTACAAAACAGAACCCTTAAATGAAAACATATGTCCTTCTCGAGAACAGTTTATATGCTCCCTGGTTAAAGGATGAATCAAAACAAATTAAATACATTTGGAAAAAGAAGATAAATGTCCTTCCCGACGTTCATCGTTAATAGCACAATCCGTCTATAGACTTATTTTATAGAACCAGCCTTGTTTCTGTAATGTCAGCTCTCTGCATTGGGTGTTATCTCGACCGTTCGATCAACATGACAGAAAAATAATCCGATTCTTCAATCTAGTTGAAAGTCTAAACCAAAACTTGAAACATGAGCATCACAGAGAAACGAATGTTGGCATATTATACGTATGAGCCAAATCCGTGCTGTAAGATTTATCACCGACGACATCAAGCGCACGCGCGCACGTATCTGTATAATTTTTCTTCGTATTTATAATTCATCATCATTTTGAAGACACTTAATGAAGAACCGAATAAGCCTATTTTGTTTTTGTTGGAGCGCTCAACATTAAAAACTATTAATCGGCATTGTCTTTATATCTTTTCGGGTATTGATTTGGAAATGAATCCAAAATAAAATTGAAAAATAGAATATTCAAATTCATTTTAAATTAATATTAAACGAATATGATGTGAAATATGTGAAGGGCAGAGAAAGAAAACTGTGTTCACCATGGGTCTGTAAATAAATATAGTCCTGATTCGTTTTAGAATATTGTGTTTAAGATGATAATTGAAGTACAGTATAGAGGCTCGTACAGCGGTATATATACGGCCTCTTACCGCGGAATGCTATTGGTATAACAAATGTTGCATGATAAAGCGGCAACAAAGGTTATAATATAACGAAAATTTCAATTCAGAACATTTTACAAGCATACTTGCAATATGAATTATACTACTGTTTAAAATCGTTCTTTACTAATTGCCAAATTATACCATTGGCGAGACATATTAACGGCGTTTTAATGTCTTTGTAGATGGTTGCCCTGGAGAAATGTGGACCCCAGACTATGGAGGTAAGCTATTTTTTTATATATCTTGTTGGCAACTACGCCCCATCATGAATAGACGCACCATGAAATAAAATTAGGGCTTTTATATAATACTACCATTTATTTTGCCCAGATCAAGTTACATTTTTCTTTTTGTTTTAATTTGTAGAAGGAAGAGAATGCGTCAACTGTGGAGCAATGTCAACGCCTTTGTGGAGGCGTGATGGTACTGGACACTACCTCTGCAACGCATGCGGTCTTTATCACAAGATGAACGGTATGAACAGGCCGCTTATCAAACCACAGAGACGAATGGTAAGATAATGGTATCAAAGGCATACATTTTGATGAATAAAAATAAAAAGCTACTATTCTTCAAGGGTGAAAGCTGTAGTTTACTTTGAACTCCGTTAATGCATCTATCATGACACGACGGTCGATGAAATTTGGAGACAAACTCCATACGGAACTCTCCCTGATAACCTAAACCTTTTATCAAACGTAACTTGTAATATAGGAAATGTAGGACCTGGTCACGTCTAGAAATTGACATGTTTGTTAGTTGCTAAAATTATTATGCCCGTTTACACTCCAAAAAATATTAAATTACGACTGCTATCTATCGATTTAGGAGAATGCATTTACATTTCAACTTCTAATTTGTTGAACTTAAAATAAACATGATGTCTGGTCTGGAGTACGGTAGGCACAGGTATGTGTCCCAGTTGTCCGTTGTGTGCAAAAAATATGTTTGTGTCTTTCAGTTGTTAGCGAACTAATTGATGATGGTGTGGCTTAATAATTACTATTATTATATTTAAATAAATACTTTGTTTACAGTCTGGGTCAAGAAGAGAGGGGATTGCATGTGCTAACTGCCGAACATCCACTACGACACTTTGGCGAAGGAACAAGGAAGGGGAGCCGGTTTGCAATGCATGCGGACTCTATTACAAGCTACATAATGCAAGTGTTATTAATATTTCGTTTATTGTTTATATATCTGCTTCCGCAGGAATATCTACTATTTAAATTGACGGTTCGTACCACTCTACTCGTGAATTATGATACAACCCGAAATTGAGACAGTTTTATAGCTATTTTTCGGGACTAATGATCTTGTTCTCTTTACCCCAACTTGCTTGTTTAAAAACCAGTCAACCTGTATGTCAAACAGAATTGAACAGAAAGTACCCTCTCGTAAATCCAAATTTATGTGTTCATGTCACCGATGTTTATTTTTTACCCTCTACTCAAACAATTTCTTTGTATATTGAACATAGTAAAACTCTTCCGAGTCGCGTTGAAGAGTTACTATAAGGAGGAGGGAAGCACGCATTGTCTAATGACCCAGCGAATATGTCATGGTATCGTGGCTTACAAAAATAAGATGAAAAAGCGAGTTACTTTCACGTAGGTCGGAAGAACATGTTGGGTGTCTGTCCTCTTCCCACAGTAGGTGGCCTCCAAGCTCCACGGAATTGATGCCCATCACACTGTATCTAAACACTGCTGAACGAAAAAGATTTTAAACACAGGCTTGTATATAAGTTACACGAATTGTGAGGGTTACACCAACATTATAATTGCTTTTTAACTGACTTAAACATATAATTCTGCAACCAAAATCTTTACTATAACTCCCTTCTGTATTTTATATGTTTCTTTGTTCAGGCTAATTAATGCTTAACCAATCTACGAAACTTAGGGATAGCCATATTAAAAAAATATCGCCCTAGAGGTCTTTAGCATCAATACATCATTCATACGTTTCTACCGGTACCGCTACACTAATGTCAACTTAGCGATTGAAAAATTCAATAAACACAAATGTTGACCTCAGTGGCACAACTCTTAAGTAAAGTTCCCATAACTTAACCGCAAATAAGTCATCCGAAAGGTGACTGACTATATCTTGTTACAATCTTGAGTGAATAAGATATATTATGCAGTAATAATTTGACAAAAATATTAGAAGAAAAATAGAACTTAAAGAAATATGTCAATACTACTGGTACCATTTTACATGGATGTAGGCCTATTGGAGAGAACGTGAATACATATTTTGAAAATGAAAACGTTTTGGTTTTTCTGTATGTGATTGACATCTTTAAAATTGATTGCCTGTGAATCGTGATTCAAAGTTGTATTAATTTCTTAGGTTTCTTGATATATATTTTTTTTTCTCTGGCAGTATTTTTAAATGCATTACCAAGTATGATACCGATGCGATAGTAGTTATGTATTGTTTCCCTTTTCGTAGTATTACAATGTTTAAAATCGGAAACAGGACGATATACAATAGGCCGGCCTATAAATTACAAGGACTATTTGTATAGTGAAGAACTTCTTCCACCACCTTAATTTTTTTGTAACCCTATTGGAAGGAAGATTGATGTTGCTGATCAGATTTCGCCATAATGAAGACTTCGTCACAGTGACGAGGGATAGACCTGGCTACTGTTTTACATATCGCCATCAGTAGCCTAGTTTGTCTGGTTAAATTTCGCATTAGTTGACCACATGTCAAGATAATAGATGATAAAGAGCCAGAACCTTAACAAGACACGATTAATCTACAAAGTAGACAAGTATCTTTCTTAAATAACTTTTGATTGTTCATTGTCCACTGATTTTAAATATGATTCTTTATTTACAATAGCCTAGATATATATGTAGCGCGTGAAAAAATCTCGATTTCGGTTTGTGGAAACTATTAATGCGTTTATTTGTCTATGCTTAGTCTATACATTCCTAAAAAATATCATTGTAAACAAACAGTCAAACAAATAGATCTGCAGATTCTTACAAAAGTATTTCAATTGCCATACAAGTGGCTAATAGGATGTATTTTGCAATGAATTATTGTGTTTATTTTAACTCTTCGGAACTTAGTATATTGTAGGCCTATAGTTTACTATAATGCATGAAGTCACGCGCGATCGAAGCACGCCATCTTGAAACTTTATGGTGCACTCCCATTTAAAATGACAACATCCAGTACTTGAAAATGCTTCGGAAGCTTATGGAAATGCCGCGGAGACTAGAATCTTAAACATTGCATAAATAGTTGTTTGATTCTGTTCATTTGATTTAGTACCCTGCTCATGAGCATAATTGTGTAAAATGCTATCACACTGGAGACATCCATCTTTGTTAGTCCATAAATTTTGAAGGAACAAGCGTCCACTTTCGAAATAATTGCGCATTGATCGGTCTTCAGGATCAATTTGCACCTTCCTTGTATATTTAAAATCTCACTTTTTTGTATTCCCAATAAGATGGTTTATTTAGAAGAGAAATGTTTCAACAAACATACAAAGAATGGAAACAAGCGTCACAATATTATGAGAGTCTTGTCACTTTCATGATATCGGGTCACGTTGTTTTCATTTCCAAACATGATTGATGTTCGCACAATGTTTTCAATCTTTGCTTTCTAATTTAGGTTGACATAATTTACTGGATCACCTTGTGAGATTATTTTTTTGGAACCCTCCCAATCAAACAATTTCTCTTCTGTCACTTTCTCGTCAATTTATGGTATTTTATCTTCCCAATCATCATAATACCTTTAAGTCTGACAACGCAGAATAAATACTGGAGATAATTAACAATAATACTGAGAATTTATGTAACATTAAAATTAATGTAGTAAGTGGTTGTAAATAAAGGGTTGTTTAACACTATATGAAGGCAAGCTACCGGTAGTTTACTTCTGGCTAAAATTTACTCTTTGTTTCCGGCGCCATTACGAGTCGTATAAAGTAGTCAGTGTGCTTACAGTTGAAAGCACTCAGAACTGTATTGTTGTATAAAGAAACCCCGGCCAATGCCGTATACACGCGGTCAAAATGCGTTAGCCGATGTTGATGATCACACGATTTATCTTAATTTGTAAGACCTTTCAGTCTCATCCAAGTTTGAATGTTTGGATGAAAGAAAACTCCCTCTAACATTAAACTATTTTTTTTTCTTGTAGGTTAATCGACCACTTGCTATGAAAAAGGATGGTATCCAGACAAGAAAGAGAAAACCAAAGAGCGCTAAGTCGTCACAACAGCCATCCACCCAGAGTCCGGTGCCGCATATTGACGCAAAACGTATGAAGCAAGATTCTGATCACTTGACGCATGTCCCTGTTCATGGATCCATCAAGGTACGCACAAATACGGAGGTATCAGAATCATAGATATATTATCTCTATGGTATAATTCATGATAATCATAGAGTTTATGTACCAAGCTATCACCCAAATCCTTTGAAAAAATACTAGGCCTTTCCTTCTACCCACTTTCTCACGATAACTCAATTTTCGCATTAGTATTAACGATGTATTCATTGTTTTTTTTTTTTCATTTTAGATGGAACCCTATACAAACGGGCTTTCTGTACATTCTATTGGTAGCCCTCACTCCATAGTGAACATGCAGAGTAACCAGTCAATTATGACGACGCCTACCAGTAACATTATCCTATCGAACGGTTCCGCTAACCCACTGAACCTAGTTGCTAACCCCACTCCAGAGAGTAGTCCCAACATTCAGACGACGGTCGCACAAACCATCTTTAATGCCGTTAACCCGTCACCACCAGTAGCTGTTGCAGTCAATCTCGAAAGAGGGAGTCCAATATCAGTTAAAAGAGAGTGAACTGTATAATATTTATGAATGATGTAAATTAAATGCGCCATCATTTTGATCATGGATGCGAATGGAACATTCTGATAATATGTATTCCTTAAGAATATCGGCACGATCAAACACTGGTAGGTTGAACTGGCCTGTTGGCGCGCGATTGAATTTTTCGTGTTCGCGAAAGAATGTACAATAAAAATAGCCTATTTGTTTTATCATTTAAATCATTGTTATTTTTTGCCTATGCGATGTGTGCTTGGCATTTTACAAAATTTACTTCATTTCTACTGAGTGAAGTAAGAACTACAAAGTCAACAAGTCTTCCAAATAATTGCTTTGAAGAAGCAATCGTCGAACGTTTTGTCATACTCGCAAGAGTTTATGCAAATGGAGAAAATCGAGCAAATGTGAATACATTAAGCCTAAGTATAGATTTTAAGAAAGATTAGTACATAGGATTAAAAACCTACGATATTTTGTGCAATGATTTTCCATAAAAAATAAACGAAAGTGTAGGCATATATACATCATTTTCCTGAACAAATATTAAATTAAACTGAGTAACAGTAGTAGGCCAATGACTTAAAATTAAAGCTTTTTGCTTACTAATGGTGCTGGATAATTGAATATATTTGTCGATAGCAGTAATATAACGAGGACCCAGCAAATAAAACGTTACGTAACTTTAACAAACATTGTGGTTGGTGTGTTGAATAAAGACGTAAACAAAACGTTAGATCAACGTTATTAAAAATTACGTTTATAATGTTTATAAAAGTTATAATAACGTCGAAATGTTAGCTGGAAATCATCAGTAGTACCTCGTCGTACCCTAAATTGATGGTAACTAAATGGGCGTTATTAAGACAACCCGTAGTTTATAAAACACAATTAAAGCATTTATCAATACGGCTAGTTATTCATGCAAAGAATGTTTTTCAGTAAATGTATGTTTGGTGAAAAAAGTAGGCCAGCCAATTAGTTAAAGTAGAAGGGTCCAAGAAGTGTCATAGATGGTAGCGTGGCCTTCTGTTATGAATAAAGTAACATTAAGATGACTTGTCAAATTAACTAAAACGCAAGTGTGCTATAACATCAGTTAAAATTATTCATTCGAAACCTATTCAGATGTCTTCAAGACAGGGAGATTTCGCAACCTTACGAAAACGACAACAAATACGTCATTATCATTGTCGTCATTCGTGCCTAAAACATTCTTGACAAATGCTATACGAGCTGAATATGATTTTTGATTCATGCAAAAGGCATAAATTGCCTACGATGTGACAGATAGGCCTTTGCTACTGTGGGAAGAGTTGGCTTAAAATTTGATGACGTAACCGTATTCGTTATCGTTTTCGGAAGCTTGCAAAAACTTCCTATTATTGAGATAATACTGGTAATTGCTCTTTTGAAAGAATACATTCAAGCATTAAAATGGTTGTAAAAAATATATTAATTTCCGTAAGATTGTTTTTTTTTTATTTATTTGCTAAGCGATTAACACATTGCTGTGTCATTTCTTGTTGCTGTACATTCTTTCTCTTGAGTTACAATTTTGGAAGTCGCCAATAGGTGGTTTTTGAAAAACGTAATGTTGATATTTAACAAAGTGTTGTATTATGATTTAAATCAATTAATATTATTATTACCTAATTGAATGCTGATTATTAATCAGCCGGTGTTAGGCTAACACAGCAAAAGTGTGCAAATGTGCCAACTACCTTGTACATAGTTATTAAATTTGAAATATTTGTTTTTCTTTTAATATTGCGTTGATAATTTTCACTCGTTCGTTTTTACACTGTGGCCGCATTATAGGTGTACATCAATGTAATTATTAATTAAACATTTAAATAATTGAAACGTTTAAACGTTTGGTCCGATCAGGCGTGGCAAATACAATTAGTCTTATACCGCACTACCTCCAGGTAGATAAATTTGATAACAAAAGTAAAAGTAATATTTTGTTTTCGATAGATTAGGCTACAGTATTTTTTTTTATTATTATAAATGCAAGAATATTTTGTTGTATTAAAAAAACATGATTTCTGTCAGGTATTTAGATATCATATTGTTTTTTTAAATATGATGAGATTTCTTTTTATAAATCATCGACAACTGTGTGCTATCAATCGACTGTTCTAACCTCAGTATTATTGTTCTTGTGACACATTCGTTTGAATTGCATTAATGGATGTGTGTACATCTATAGTTGTAGATTATTGGATGTAATTATATGTGATGAGGTCTGTAATATGTCAATTAGTAATAAATAGTCTGATCAACATTAAATGTGTTAAATAACAACATTAAATGTGTATGTCTCGTTCAGTCATGTAAATTAAAGAAAAAGGGAAAAAAGTGATCGCAAATGCATATTCGACCACAGGGCTTTGATATAGGTCTATATAAACTTTGTTGCGAAATTGGAGAAACAATCCTTAAAAAAATCGATTTAAAATGTATCAAATCACAGATGAAAACAGTTGATTCACAGTCATTTTACTACACAAAACTTAAATGCAAAGAATATACGAACGGTAATATTTTATGCGTCTATTAAACTGGCAAAGATAATATTCTCTCGTGCAATTGGAAGTTAATAACTGAAATAGACATACAGTACCTGTATACAAAACAGGCCTCAGTATTTCAAATAGGCCTATTGAAATAACGAAACTAAATATTTTTTAGTTGTATTATCAGTGGCTCATTCAAGAGGTGGGGAAAACCGGTCCGGGCCCCCTACATTTTTCAAAATGAAGAAAAACAAAATTACAATAAAATTTAAGTCTAAGTGTGTCATTTCCGGCCATCTAGGGTGCCGTAATCATAAAATTTCCTTTACTCAGCCCAAATCATGGTGGGGTTGAGGTGATTGGACCCACTATAACTGTGAAAGTCCGTCCATGGACGGGCGGAACGCCCCCACCCCCACCCCATCTCGAATTCCTCGATCCGCCACTGATTATCAATGATTTTGATATTTTCAAAAACAAATCGACATGTTTACGGAGTGTTTTGAAATCTTACCCGGAAGACGAGCATGAATTTGTTAATTCTCATAACAATTCGTCATTGGTTTTTTTTTTCTTTCATTCCTATGCTAGTTTTCCTTATGTAGTGTAGTAGATCCATTGTCCTACTGATTCTGTATTTATTAATTTGTTATGGACAATAGAAATCGTAATTTAATTGGTAAGATAATTACAGTAGTTTTTTACAGTAGGCCTACAGTTGTTGAAAGTTAATAACTAATAAAATATCAAGGTAGCAATTCACTCTTAATTTTTTAAAGTTCATATTTAGTACGTGGAAGTTTATTATTTGTGTAGCCTTCGTCCTACTTTTAAGTTGTGAGAGAGGAGTAAATCCGGTTGGCGAGTTCGAAGTTCAAAGAGAGAATTATGGGATACCTAGACAGAAGTAAAGAGTTTCCCAAACGTAGGATTTACCATGCCTAGGCTAGACCTGTCAACATCCTTTTAATACTTGTACTGTTATTCATGTGAATTGCCAACACAGAAAGCGTGGGTGGGTGGATGGGTTAAAACAATGTTAACACAGTCAACACATGCTCCCACTGGAAACCAGTAGGGTATCTAGGGAGTGCACTGAGGGCTCCCATACCCAAAATTACTCCTTCCCCCCCCCCAGTCGCTCTCCCCAAAATCACAGTCAAGTAGTTAAAATCACCTAAAATCACATTATTTTGTGAATTAGTACCCCTCAACTGATCATTGAGCCCCCACTTCACCTTTGCGGCCCCCCCCCCCCACCATCAGCACCACCCCAATTTCAAGACTTCTAGATACACCACTGCTGAAAAACAATTTTTTTTTCTTGTTCTAAATTGAAGGCTGAACATCATAGCAAACATAGTCACAATTCAATTCAACTGCTGTTCAATGTTTATTTCATCACTAAATACAGTACCTTAAAATAATACAGTATTACTCCATAAGATCGAACCTACAAAAGGCCCAGCAACTGGAATTTTTTATTCTTCTAGTTTTGCATGCTTTCATTACAAGAAATACAGATATTTAATATATTTCACCTAGCAGAAATATTTTACATAAGCCCTATACTGTATGTCAAGCACCCAGAAACATCAACATGCGAAGTTGGATTAGCGCCCCCTCAACCGCATTAGGACTGCCGTCACTATCGTATCGATTGTATTGTAATTAATTACTGTAATAACATTGTTAGCTTTAAAGGGCTAGACATTATTTCTCAGACATGTGAAATCAAACTGTTAATTTCCAAATCATTCTAATTACGATAAATAACAAAAGCTAATGTATAAAATCTATGCATTTATTTGATAAACATGAAGTTTTAAAAATTCGTGAGAGTTGTGTTAGTTTCAATAGAAAATAAGGTGCCTATGTTAAGTGGTTGCAAGTGTTTAGTTTGTCAATGTTTTAAAATAATGTAATATTTCTTTATTCAACCTAACAATTCAATTATCTTTAACTACCACGAGTAGAGTACTCAATGAGGTATCATTATGTTTTTTCTTATTGTTTAAATAAAATATACTGTGATATGTATAATTAAAATAATAAAACAATAAATCCTTTTTATTAACAATAATGAAAAAAAAATATTTCAATAATAATAATAATAATAATATTAATAATAATAATAATATTAATCTAATAGGATATCAATAACAGAATATAGTAAATAAATATCTCAGTTTTCAGATAGACTGGAGTTTTTCATTTTAAACTGCCACAATAATCTATTTTTCATAGATTAAATAACATAAACTCTTTTACAACCTTCGCTAAACAAGTCATAAAATTATTAAATGTAGAATATCAGGATTCACTATCAATACTAATTTTTATCCCTAGATTTGTTTTTTTTGTGTTATATTTCATCATTTTCTGTTACATTATTTGTTTGATGGCTTTCCTTCATTTCCTCATTCCTTGTTTTTTCGAAAAAGTATTCAAATGCAAAGTTTTCCTCCTGTGTCATAGTTTTCTCAACAGACCTCTTTTCTTGAAGTGCTTCAATCTACATACAAATAAATTCAAATTATACACCTGAATATAAAGTAGGCACAAGTTGGCTAGTTTAACGTGTGAAAGCATGTTTAGTAGGCACAAGTTGGCTAGTTTAACGTGTGAAAGCATGTTTCACAGCAGTAAAGAAAAGAGGTTTGAGTCTAAGGCTGTACCCATATTTTTATCTTTGGGCAAGGAAATTTATGTTAACTCTTTCCAACCAGAGTGTCATTGATACATAAAAGTCCAATATTAAATATATTGATTACTAGCTATTGTGCAATAATTTAGAATATTATGGTCATTGAGTTTGACCCAATGACCAGTAAAATAATTTGAAGTTGAAATTACTTTAAATTTAGTAGAGCATTCAATGTTTTCATATATTAGAGATATTTTCTATTTTATGACAGCTGGTATATCTTTACCCTCACCTGAGCCATGAACTCTTTTTCATTATCTGCATCTATATCTAGGCTGGTCACCTTATTGAAGAGTTCGTGAGGTTTAAGAATGCCTTGCAAACCTCGACTTGTGAAGAACTGTACAGAAAAATACCAAAATGTTTTATCATTAGCAAAATGTTGGAATGACAATTAAAGGAGCAGATCCACGTCAATATTTCTGGCACGCCAAGTTCCCGCAATGCAAGACCTAGGCCGATTCATCTTCAAATCTGAACGTAAACCAAACCTGGGTCACCAAGTTCGCCTTAATGATAGCAGTCAATTTTCACATCTTATACCACAGCAAAACATGATGCAAAGGAGGAAGTGTAAACGTTAGCAGTGCACCCGGAACCGACTTAAAATACCAACTGCCAAAGAGATGGTCGTTTTGAGTCAGTCGTAGTTAAGAGGGCCCTGGGCCAATATAATAAGTGTGATTATGTTCATAGTGTGTCTCTAGGTAATTGAGTATGGATTCCAAACTCAATTTGAATGTTTTTATATACAATTACCTTGACGCACACTATGAGCATAATCACACTTATTATGCAAAGTCATATATATCCGAGCAAACATCCATCTGTCAACATACACAGAAGGTGTTACAAGCTTCTAGGCAACAGTGATCCCCCACCCCCCTTTCTTAAATCGCCGTGGCTAGAGATACGGTACCGTATCGGAACTTCCGATTGCTAAAGTTACGGTAAATGATATTACGTCATGATTAGCCAATAGAAATGACCGACTCGATTTTGGCTTTTTTGCAAAGTTGACGTCGCGATCATGAGAAACGTGTGGCACGAACAGTTACGATCAAATTTATGTCATAATAGGCCCATTTCATGTACTTCGATTGGGTCTTATCACAATGTTTGGGTTAAAAGTCCCTTCTGTTATTCTTGTGCATTTTATGGTTCTACCATCGAGAATGGTCTACTTAGGCTTAGGCCTAGGGCATAGGCCGAATACCCGCCTAGGGGCCTATGCTCATTTTATAGGCGTACCACTAGGCTGAGCTTAGGCCTCGTACTGTAGTGCTACTACTAGGGCCTAGCCTAAGTCTATAGAATAGTAGGCACTAGTTATTATTGCTGATTGAAATAACCAACCAAGCAACATGGCGATTGTAATTATCAGTGAGAGTAAACTTTATTTACAGTGCGTATACAGGGAATTAGCATGCACAGTAGCAGGGGTGTAGCTAAGGCTGAGATTCTACTATTAAAATAGTTTACTCAGTCGCTTGATGTCGCCAAATCTAGCAAAACTGCTGTCCTTTTTATTGCTATAGGGCCTCAGGCTACAGAATATTAATCACAGCTTGTCAACAACACCCGTGAACGAACGAAATTTCTTATCTTCGATCGTAAACACACACTCACTACTCTTGCAGCAGTAGTGCACTGAATGACGTCATGCATGTATCGGCGTTTCTATTGGCTAATCATGACGTAATATCATTTACCGTACCTTTAGCAATCGGAAGTTCCGATACGGTACCGTATCTCTATCCACGGACATGTTCGTATGGTCAAATGTTATGAATAATGGGCCAACCTGTCAATAAAGACTGAAGTACATACTGTATTCAACAATGTGTGGTTTTCATTTACCTTGGAAACATTGGTACAGTCTCTAAGAAGGAATTCTAAAGCAAGAGGATGCGTCGGCTCCACTGATTGGCTGACGTCTATGAAACAGACTTGACCTTTGAACCACAACATATTGTATTCGCTGAGATCAGCATGGATTAGGTTACATGTGTTGTACATTGTTTCCATCATCTGTGAATCAAAAGAGTTGGTGAGGTTATCTTTAAAAAAGTATTTATTGATGAAACTTTAGTAGCATACTTGATATATCCATCAAATCAAAGAGCATTACAAATGTTGCGGTTGTAAACTAAGTTATACTGACACTGTACACTACATAACAATGATTTCACTAAACACAATTTCAATAGTAAAAAATAAAATATAGTAAAATCATCCAACTAAAATATAGAGGGCTATGCTCTTGCTTTGCAATAGACCTTTCCGCTAAGCTCCGCCCCTTGGATTTTGTTGCTAAGGTCCCACAAGACGGCAGTGTTAAAACATACGCGAACACGTGCGTTTGTGGGACAACACGTGTGTTTGTGAGACGCGTGCGTATTTCTAGCGTTGTTCCGATTAGTCAGTTGTTAAGTTTGATTGACACTCCGGAAAGGTCTATTTGGTATTGATGAAAACATTTACATTTTGGGTTGTATATATTATTACATGGTTTAGTGTTATTTTATTAATTTCCTTTTTAAAAAGAATGCCAAGATCGTTTGGTATAGAAATAGAAATATTATACAAATAAATACTGTGTGCTATTTACAAGGGAGTGAGTCAACTACCCTGAGATTAGAAGGCAAGCACTCAACCAGTATTCCACAGATGAACTATAACTGTCAATGAGGCATCTTACCTGCACACACTGTTCATATGCTACTTTCATGTCAGCAGTCGATAGTTGTACGTCCTTCAGTTTTGGCGCTGGTACGCGATCTTCACCGATGAACGACAAGACCAGGATGTGCTTCTTGAGCAGGATCACATCGGGACAGCAAATACCAGCGCTACGCATTCTAAAATAAATGTACATTAATTATTATATTCATGCAGAAGGTTACAGGGGTGGTGCCAGAATTTGCCCGACGAGGGGGGTAGTGGGCAAAGTGGGCGTGGTCAAGCTTCGATTAAAAGGTTTGGAAAGTGGTCCTAGGGTTTCAAAGGCTTATTTAATCAATTTTATAGTCTACTAATATGTAGAAAATACATATAATTTTTTTTTCACCCCGACGAATTGTGCTTTTTCTCCTCAACGGGGGGGGGGGGGGGGGGGGGGGGAAGCTCTCCCAGACAGCGGACCCTGCCCATCCCCCGCCCCCCTTGCGCCACCCCTGGAAAGTTATTCTTAGTTAAATATTTTCTCTATAATTTATGGAAATTTTTTTTTTAATTAATTCTTGTAAAATCTGACACATTTTTTATTATGAGCAATTCCTGTTGTCAACACACCTTAGTTTGCTCATCATTCACAGTAAAAACAAAGTGAAAAGTTGGGCCTCTTTGGTCTAAAGTGACAGTTAAGTAACATAGCACCAAGGCAGGAATGGGTTAGAAATTGGGTCTCCCTCTCCCTAGGAAGCGAGATAAGCATGACCTTAACATCACATTTAAAGGTGTTTGAATGTTGGTAATTTGTTTGTGATTCATTTAGTTTGATTTTTACTCCAACATTTCCATTGAATATTTTGATTCTTACTTTTAACATTTGGAAATATTTACAATATGATTGATATAGAGTACAGGGGCGATCCAGAGATGTCCAAAAGAGGGGGGGGGGCCCGAAAGTTGGGCCGATTGAGACAACACTGACCTAAGCAATCCAGGACACTATCCACGAAATTTTTGCGTTCTAGATGCCCAAAATAGCATTCTGGGCTATCAATTTTTCATTTTTCTTTCTTTCTTCTTCTTTTTTTTTTAACCTCCCAAAAGTGGGGGAGGGGAGGGCGGGGCTGGGCCACCTCCCCCACCCCCCTAAATCCACCCCTGGAGTAGATTCTTCAGACACAGCACTAATGTCAGGAAAAATTAACTAACATTTTAGGAGTTAATCAAAATCAAGTGAGAATTAACACATTCTCTCTGATTTTAAGTATCCATCCATGTCCCCACATCAAAACCAAAAGCTTAGGACTAAGTCATTCTGATTATTTTATTCAGAAATCCCTACATATGAATATTCATAATTAAGTCATTCCTATTTTAGTAAATGTCCACAACATAAGTAAACAGTAGATGGGGGAACTACACTATAAGCATACAATTACAGATAGCCGCAAGTTGCTACTATAAATAAATATACAAAACCTGATGATTTTTTGATTTGTTTTATTTATTGCATATCATGAACCATATATCAAGAAGATGCATAAATTTGCTAAATGTAGGCTAGCCATTTAAGCTGTCATGATAAAAGTGGCTGTTATAAGTCAATGCTGGCCAGTCAAAACATGGCTTGACAGCTCGCTGGATAAGCCATTGTAATCAGGACAATCAACTTCTGGTTGTATATGGATGTACAGTACTAATACAATTTTTGAAAAACCCCCAAAACAGTGACCCCTTTATTTTCACCCTGTCAGAGGATATTTTTACATTCCTTAGTTGTTAATCAAAACTGTATATTTGGAATGACCTATTTTGTGTTTGAGACTTACTCAATTGTTTGTAAGCAGTTGTCCTGTGACAAACTAAGAAAATAAAATATGTTGTATTTTATACTTTCCTTTAGACATTGTTTTTGTCACACTGTTTGTTCACTTACCTGTTTAAATTATGCATCTCTTTTTCAGCCCACATCCGAATGATTTTCCTCGGATTCAGCTTACTGAAACGATCCTTAAAACGGAAGTCATCTTTGATGTATTTATCCCGAGTACGGAACTCATTCAGTGTTGTCTTAAATACCTTTAAGGCACATTCCTCAGGGACCAACTGGGTTTCAGCTCTGTGAATAATAATAATAATAATAATAAAACTAGAAATTGCAAATTGCAAGTGAAGTGCTGCGAAGTACAACTGCATATAAATGTTCTTCGAACAAAATTATTTATGCGAGTCAAGTGAAAATAATGAATAATAAAAATATAATATACAAATAATATGAGACACTACCCATTGTCTGTATTAGAACAGCGTTGGTACCGTGTACAATAGTGTTTTGCTGCAGTGACATCTCTCTGCTGGCGACTCGCTGCTGCTGGCGATGACTCGCTGCTGGCGAATCGATCTGCGCATGTGTATAAAATGGTATTCATTTCCGAAAACACTGTGTATGCCAGTCTACAACAAGCGTCGCCTAAATGTAATAATTAGCACGTTGAAATAGGCTAGTAAATAAGTTTAACTGGGTTCGTAAATAATATTGGCCTTAAAATATTGTGGCTGAGACATGGGCCGATTATATGTAGAAATAAGAAACCTAGAAATATAGTAAAAACGCTGAATAGTAATACTCCAGCGTCGCGACATGCGGACGTTGGTACAAGTAGGTTAGTCTACAAACGTCGCCTAAAGTAATTGATTTTACCCAGCAGAACAAAAGAAGGAAACTCAGCTTTTCAGTTGTCTTAGGCCCTCGTTTTTTGACAAACAATGATCTTTTAGAGGTCAAATTGCTGTCAAGAATATGAAAGA